TGCAAAAGGCCGATATTTTCATCGAACTCAGTCCACAAACACATGGTAGCCGTTGGCAGCCTAATGTTAATGACCACTGACCACTGTGACGTCACCAAAACGTATTTCCGCGGTGTCATGGCGGGGTGGATACTCTCAAAGTCAGAAGTTGCCTTCCTAGACGCGAGTTATTTAATAGTAAACTGACCCTTGACATGCAAATGCATTACAAACAGACAAAGACCTTTCAATACACGAACGTTTTTTACACCAAGCGTAAATAGGGGATTCTAAAAGGAGAAGCCGCACACATCCTAAAAACGAATTTGTCTCGCTGCAAGTATAATATCGCTGCAACTTAATGCCCTGCAACTGGGCACGGTCTCCAATAGACTAAATGCCCGGCAGGCAGAAATTTTCACAGAATATCCACTGAAAGGTTCCTTCGAACCATAGTTCAAACTTCTTAAGAATATTGTCCATCACAGATCTTGAGCCAATCAAATGAGGTCAGATCAAATAGCACCAAGGTTATAGGCAAGGTCAGTTTCTCTCCTGGTCCTTCTCGCCTTCATTTCATCGTATTAACATCCAAACACAGATTTTCGTAACCCCACCTTTGCTTAAGAAATTGCTTGATGTTTATTATATCAATGTTCTTGATGTCGCGTGAAATAAAAGCGTCACTAATGTGGCCAATTTATCCCACATTCGAAGTTATTATTTTATCTCCTGTCAACTCGTCAGCAAACTAGTGCGACGTCACGCAGAGCTTCGGTCCCGTTTCAGTAGAGACACGCGGGTTTCGTGATAAAAGGTTTTTGTACTTTTCTCGGAGTTCGGTATTTAGTCTGTTTGAGACCGTGCCGGGCAGTGGCTTTTGCAAATATTTTCATGGGAAAAAATAGAAAAAGGATATTATCACCCAAAGCACAACAAAATCACTACTTTGTAAGAGGTATATTGACGACGTTTTCTGTCTGTGGAACAGAACCAAAGACATATATACGTGCCATACTCATTTTTTTCTATTTTTATTATCATTTTTTTACTATGGCACTCATAGGCCATATTCTTTTTTTTTTTTTGGAAAGAATAAAGATAACTATTAAAAAAAATTAAAATTATCCAAAAAAATATAAAAAGAAAAGAAATACAAAAGAAACTAAAAAGAAGAAAAAATAGAAAAAGTAAAACATAAATAATAAGAAAATAATTAAAAAATAAAAAGTAAATAAAGAATATAAATAACAAAATATAAATAAATAAAAAATGATATTAAAAATAAAAATAATTGATCAATAAAATAAATGGTTTATTTGCTTTGGCTCTACTTATAGACCACTTTCATAAATGGCTGCCGGATCATTATTCTTTTGTTTAAATTCAAATTAGCCCTTCTGGCCTCGCTTGAGATAATGTCTTCTTTTGAATTTTGTACTGGAGAACGAGGCCAGTAGGGCTAATTTAAATTTAAACAAAAGAATATTAATCCGGCAGCCATTTATGAAAGTAGTCTATAAGGAAGGCATTTTACAGTTGAATGCCTTGAATGTTTACTAAAAAAGCAAATAAATCCACAGTTTTGTTTAGTTTCAGGACGTGAGTTTTGTTTGCAACGACGGGAAATTCGAACAAAATTTGCTTTGGAGTTGCAATAATACGAAACACGGGCTTTAAACGTGATAACTGTCTTGTAGTATAAGTTCATCTGCGAATGCATTGTGATTCATATAATGGAAACAATGTGCCGTTGTTCCAGATTATATCGGAAGCATTTTTCTCTTTTGTATCCCGTTGGGTCTAATTAATTTGGCGGCTCTTATGACGTTAACTCCAGAGGCCGGAGCGAATATATCACTCCGGCTTAACTTCCGTAAATCTCATTGTTTCCGAGGTGCACGTTCAGTTCGCAGCTTGGAATTGTCTAGACGTTAGTTTTCAATCGTGGCAATTTAGGCTGGTCAAGGTGATACTTGACAAAAGAACCCTTCTTTGTCATTGAGGTTTTAGTCCCCAAAGCAAACGTATTGTTGAGTCTACTACAGAAGAAGACGAAATGGCTTTATTACGCGGATCGCACTACGTTAACAGTCATAATGTATTTTTGGCGAAAACTGGACAAAGAAGCGAAGTAGGGAAGCTATTAAAAGAACATTTACCGCCCTTGGTTCAGAGATCGCTTGACATGCGCCATGGCAAATCGCATTTTGATATCCTTAGTGTAGGAACTGGAACGGGGGAAACCGATGTGGAAATCTTGAAAATAATGAAGAAAGAGTTACAAGAAAGCGAGCATGGCCATCACATGAAGATCTTCAACCGAATGGTCGAACCTAACGAATATTCGTGTGGTCTCTACAAGGCAGCCATGGAAAGTTTGCCCCGCAGTCTTCTCGATGAAAAGCCTATAGAAGTTGAACTTTGTCGGCAGACATTTCAAGAGTACAAGAAGATGAAGGGCGGCCATCAGCAAGGATCAGTGAAGTTTGATTTGGTGCATTTTATTCACAGTGTTTACCATGTCGACGTCGAGGAGGCTCTGCTTCACTGTTTCGAGAAAGAGCTAAACGACACGGGTATCTTGCTTTTCGTGGTAGCAGGGCAAGACCTCATGGACTCGGTTAAGTTGAGACAAAACAAGCATTCGGCTGGAAAAGACAAGGCTAACGAGTCCAAAATGGTGGAGAGAATCATCAACATTGCTTCTGATAATGGCTGGAAACATAAAGTGTACGCCCAAGAATATTCTATCGATGTTACCGAAGTGTTTGATGAGAAATCTACTGAAGGAAATCTGCTTCTTGATTTTCTGACAGAAACTGCGCATTTTCGTGAGAAAGCAGACACAAAACTTGTGGAAGAAACACTTAAACTGATTAAGGATCGGACCATTTTGAAAGATGGGAAAAGATTTGGTGAGAAAAAGGAATCGCTCATTGTCATTTCCAAAGAGCTGTGATAAATTGGTGTCACATCCTGTTTAATCAGCCGAGGAAGAACGTGAACCCTTAACGCCATGGTAAACCACAACGCTGTAGATAAAATGACAATAGCCGATGCGAAGCCCTATACAAATGATAGTAATCCTCGAAGCAGAGAAAATTTATTCTATCATGTAACCGTACGAACAACCGTCCTCACAACTGTTTTTTGGGCACAAATCTTGGCATTGTGTAGATAGAAGGTAATACGCATGCGTGCACGCTTGTATAACAAGGAAATCCTGAATGCGCCTCTGCTAGTAGGCGCCTCTGCTAGTAACATAGGGGCATATGTTACTCAGTCACAGTACTCAGTTTAACAGTGACCTTATGGAACGGTGGTAATGTTGAATATCCTACAACACTAGGAAAAGATTTGTCCTAGTGAATCAGTACGAAATCTGGGAGTCCACTTTGATCAGTACGCAAGGATGCATGTACATGTGAAAAAAATCTGTCAAGCCTCATTCTACCTTCTAAGGAATATAAGTAAAATTAGAAGATACCTAGAAGCCAGGACACTACTGAAATTCTTATTCATGCCTACATAACCTCTAAGTTGGATAATTGTAATTCTTTACTTTATGGACTTCCAACCTTTATGATCAATAAGTTACAGATAATACAGAATGCTGCTGCAAGAATTGTTACTCGCACAAAGAAAACTGATCACATTACTCCTAGCTGTTCTATGCAAGCTTCACTGGTTACCAATTCAATATGGAATTATTTTAAAATACACCTGTTAGTCTACAAAGGTCTGAATGGTTTAGCTCCTGCTTATATTTCTGAACTTTTTCATTATCCTACCAGTTCTCGTTTACTACGCTCTGCTTCTCAAAGACTCTTGAGCATTCCAAGGACATCACTGAAGACATATGGTGACAGAGCCTTTTCGGCTGCTGGCCTAAAACTGTGGAACGAACTACCTTTATCACTCAGATCATCAAACACTTTGGCTGTTTTCAAAAACCACTGGAAGACTTATTTGTTTAAACTTGCCTTCAGTTAACAATTTCTACCTTAATTTCCTTTTTAATTATTATGTAATCTCTTTTATTAATTTGTATTTTTTTTAATCATATAGTAGACACTGTAAAGCGCTATGAAGAAGTAGTCGACTTAGCGCTATATAAATGCTTATTATTATTATTATTATTAAATAATTAAAACATTGATAATCAACTGACAAAATTAAAATTAAAAGAAGCCCAGTTTAATTATTATTGGAGCCTAGAGAAAAGACCGATCTAGGAACAGTGAGGTTCTTAAGCTAACCCTTAAAAGTTATAATTACTGTTTCTATCTTCATCATTATTATTATTACCATCATTATTGTTAAAATGATTATTTGATATCATTTAATTATTGGTGGTTGAGAAGTTAATTAGTCACTATATTATTCTTGAATCATCTTTCTCTTGTGGAACAAGCCTGACTCAGTAACCTTATGTTGTCTTAACTGCCTATTTTCGCTCCGACGAAGGGCTAACGCTCGAAATGTCAGCTTTTGTAATCGTTACGGTGGCCAATTTACCATTTCAACTTTATTGATATATATCCAAAATATTTTCGAATTTCCTGGGGTAGACCATCGAGAATTGACTTGACGAGACAAGTCTACACTACTCACTCCCCCATAGCGGCTAAATCAGCGGTCAATCTTCCCCTGGGGTACTCCGGTGACAATTTACCTATCGAGTGCAAATATACGCTACCCACTCCCCCAATGTAGCTAAATTGTCATGCCGAAAATTTTTTTTTTCCGATTAGTCACGAACTTTTTCGCGTCGCTTCGGCCAAAGTCCCTCAACGCTACAAAGAACAAAAAGACCATTGTTTAATACTTAATCTGAGAAGTTGAGCCGCAACTATAGACCATTTCTTGATCGACACGTGAATCATAACTCGAGCAGACAATACGAAAAATAATGATACGTTTTGATTCAGTAATTTATTTCAATAGGAGAGTAACAATTGATATTGCAACAGGATGGTCCAGCCGAGGATAGCCTTCAAAAAGTGTGAACTTGACCATTTAAGATCGTAGGAGAAATTTACATCAGCACCATATGGGAACCCTTCGTTTGTGGTCATGGCAAGTTTTCTCCCGTGAAGTGCTTTGAGCCAACTTCAAAATATACAAAGGGACCTGACGGGGAAATAAGATAACTACAGAACGTACATAACCCCAGTTACGTACGTTCCGTTCGAGACTTCAAAATAACTTGAGTAGCTTCATTTCGTTATTTAAAGTACTGTTGAAGCCGAGTTAATGTATAGTAGAATTTGAAGGAAATAAAAGAGAACTACAGAGAGCGAAAGGCCAAGATGAAGAGATTTTGAATGAAACGTCGCGGTAACCACTAAGAAAATCATATTTCGAGTGTTGCGCTCAATAATCTCTAGTGCAAATGTCGAGCTACGAAGATACTCCCAAATAAACAATCAAGTCAAAATCGGGTAAAGTCCGGAATTGTACTTTCACACTCACTCTTAACTTAGTGGCCTCGCAGTAGCCTTAAGAAAACTGAAGATATCTTAATGGAAGCCGAGAATCAGAACGCAAATGGAATAACGTCAATTTCCATAGTAAATATAGTAAAAAATACAAAAAATCGCATCCGCTATGATAAATAAATTTACTTTTTCACAGATAATTAATCATAATTTCCGAAGACGTGTAATATTTCATTCTCTCGGTTACCAGTCATTACTTGCTGCCTTCAGGGGAGGGGGAGGAATGTGCAGTAGCGTATTCAGACCTTGAGCTAAGGGGGGCGTGGGGCCAGGCTTTTCATCCCTTTGCGTTTATTTTTTTACCAAGATAAGGGGGGAGCCCCGCTCCCCCGAGCCCCTCGCCTAAATCCCCACCGGTGTTTGGAGGACATTCGGTAAAATCACATGGATTTCAGAGGAAACGGAATGGGAATAGTCGCCGCAAATAGGGTATTAAGGGGGCACTACAAAAAAACTGACTGCCAATTAACTGCCAAGGAGGAAAGGATCATAAGAATATTACAGAGCAAAAGCCCCCACCCCCCCTCCCCGATTCACGAGTTACCAAATCAGCATGGTTTCCATTTGACAGGTGGCAAGGAGAAAAAATACCAATTTTTCTTAAATTCACGAGCGTTTTTTGTCAGAGAAAAAACCCGCGAGGTTTCGAGAACAAGCGGGGTCTGCCGCTACCAATAATACCTCTACCCTTCGCTTGTTCAGCATGCCCTTCGACCTCCCTAAGATAAAGGGGCCTTTTCCTGTCATAGCCGCTTATTGCGTCATGGAGCGTTAAAGTGCACCTAAATCCAAAATTTTTTTTTCTCTTAACGAAATAAGCTTATCTTTTGGAGTATTTCTGTGCAAAAATTTTTTAATTTGCTTAAATCTTAAATTTTCTGTGCCTGGTCAAAATACGGAAAATCGGCCGCCATCTTGCCCCACGACCGAGTTTAAAGAGGAATGGCTCTAGCGGATAATGTGACGTCAAATCGAGAACACGAAAGTCTGCTTTTCACACATTTTCACTTGTTTGGGAAGGTTGTGGTCGATATTGTCCGAAATATGCCGACCAGGTGT